CATACATTTAAAACAGCAGAGACTTGGGTTACTTCCTTTTTCAGAGTTGCCAAATTTGACTTACAGGCAGGTCTCATCCGTGCTACTTTACAGCTTGGAAGCTGAAAGCATTTCTCATTGGAGATAACAGCATTAAGCTACAGAGTATTCAAGGTCACAGTATAAGGAAACTTGCAGCTCTGCTGATGATGTGATGTGACTTCTCTTCAGAAGAAGAGGACTTTAGGCACATGCTGCTTTTCCTAAACACACTGAATCCGGCCTTGCAACGTGCTAAGCCGTTCCATCAAGACACTGAGTGCTTTAGCTCTCGTTAACTTCAGTTAGAATCAGAATGAGAAACACCCGGCTTGATCAGTCCCTTAAATTCGACCACAAAAAAGTAAATGCTTTCTCTGCTCAACAGCCTTCAGGAAACACGTGTGGGACCAAATTCTGCCCTCCTTCACAGTGATGCAAACCAACAGTATGCAGACTGATGAACACAAACCGCTCCAGGTTCAGCCCTATGTGACTGAGACAGGAATTTGGCCTATAGTTTTTATATACTGACATAAAACAAAAGACAACCACAGCTTTCCTTAGCTTTAACAATACCCAGTTTTGTAGGATGTTCTGAAAAAAGCTAGAATAGCTACCACCCACTCAATAAAAAGAAAGTAAACACGTAACAAAAATGAAACTGCTATTTTGAGACATCTCTTTACACAGGTTTTCAGTTCGGGCCAGCAGCTCAGTACCTAAATTTGATATCTGAGTGAACTCTGCAGGGGAGTCAGAAGTAGTTAGAAAACATAACCCTTTTTCTGTGGGGGCAGGGGTAAGAGATTGATAAAATGTTACAGAAAATGAGCAAACATGGGCCTCTGAGGTTAATTTTCAGAGTCAGTCCTCTAAACATCTTGTTAGAAACATGCCTTTCTCAAACTTCTTTGACTCTTAGGTTATGTTCTGACCTCAAATCAACACCAATTTTGGCTATCAGTGGCAAAAACATTGTAAACCATACAGACAGCAGTTCCCATTACTAAAGAGGCCCTACTCTTCCTGCTGTTAGATGCTATTTTTAGTTGCTATGTCTAATCATTCAATTAATCATTCATGTCTAAGTCTTCTTTTTATGTCAAGAACCTACTTACAGCAGTTTTTGTTTGTTTTGTTAACATTGCCATTTTAATTGAATGCTATTTCCCAAAAGATTCTTGGGGAAAACAGTTTTCGCTTACATTTCTTGGTTGTAAGGCAACTTTTAGAGAAACTTTTGCTTCAGTGCTTTTGAGTAGAGATAAGCAACTTGACAAAGAGCGGCAGAGCTGTGCTTCTGGGTGCTCTCACTGTGAAGACATCTAATCGTCACAATTTGTTAAGCCTTTGGAAAAGCCTTGGCCATGCTCCACAGGTACTTGTTTGGGCCTGACTATGAAATACTCTGAAAGGTCTATCTATACTCACTACACGCCACCATCTCATAGCTCCTACCCGATCTAGGCTGTTGCAGATGCGTTATCCTCACTGTTTGCTGAGTGTAGCCTATCTCAAGACTGAGTAGAGCAAAGCTCTCCCTGAGATGCGGCTCTGTGGTACCCGGCACTAAACTCCAGTTAGACAGCAAGTCGCTCCTGCATTCTCAGCAACATCCCTGTTATTCCTATGCTTAGAATTTGAGTTTTAAGATGAAGGAGAAAAAAAAAAACAAACTATGGCTTTACCTTTGCTGCAGCCATTCTCATGACTGCTACTTGTGTACACTTACCTGAAGTGGCATGAAAATGCTATTAGATGCTACATGGGGCCCCTAACGATATAGCCATGATGTTATAGCATGGTAGTTGCATCATCTCAACAAAGGTGAGGCAACAAACCTCACCTTTTGCACTAATTTAGCTTCTCCCGCAGGTGTGGCAGTTCAGCCAGACTTGCGTGCCATGACAACGCTAGCAATAGTTGAGCAAACTACTTCAAAATTAAGTCAGATATGCGTGCCCTAAAACAGAAAAGGGTAGGGCCTGACAGGAGGAGAGGGCTGCTAAAGTCAAAAAGCAAGGAGGCAAGAGGCAGCAACGAAGAAGAGAAGAAAAGCAGCTACTAAGAAGATTCGGGGCAGGGAGGGAGGGGAAAGGGAGAAGGTACAGAGAAGTGGAGAAATTAGAAGGAAGAAAGGAAGAAGAGAAAAGAAGGAGCAGTGGGAGCTAGAGATAAAACGATGTGTTACGAAAGCAATGGAAAGAGGTTGCAACAGGAACAGAGCCAAAGCTGTCTACAACTAATAGAAAACATTCATCTGCAGAAACTGGAATGTAACTCGGAAGTACAGTCTTTGCATTCCCCTACTAGCAGAAAACAGCTGGACATTTCTTGTCTACCACTCATTCCCCTCCTGTGCCGGATCTACATACACACATACTACTGCCACCATAGTGTCAGGCCATTAGTGCTGTGAGTTCAATAACCTTATACTCTGGATCAAAATGCCCAAACTTTTCTGACACTGCTGAATGCACTTTTTTTTTTTTTGAAAAATCCAAAGCAGAACACTATGAGCTTTTTCCATTTCTTTTGTCTTTTAAGTTACAAAAGAACAGCAGAGAACTACAATAAAAGAATGAAAAAATAAAGGTTGTCTTTTTAATCTCCCTTCAGCTCCTGTATTGTAGGCATTTTGAAATATGCTGCAATTACACTATCACATGCAAATCTTTTCCAGTGACCCTTGTCTCATCTAGAAACCAGGATATGTTCTACTTTGTGAACCAATTAGGGTGAGAGAAACTACTGCCCAAAGAATCCCCACCTCAATTTTTGTGCAACCTGAAAGCTGTAAGTTGAACATATATTTGCAGGCAGTGAGAGGATGAAATCACAGCTAGGGAGCTCAAAAAGCACTCTGGAAAACCAGGTGCATCCCCATCTCTGCTATAAAGTTCTTCTGTGACATTGTGCAAGTGACTGAAACATACTACTACCAGCTTCTAAGTATGCATTCCTCATTTTCTCAATATCCAGTTTCCAAGATCTGCAAATGGGCTGAATGCTCACAATTGGAACTGAAACATACTGGTGAGGCTTCCTGAATATATGAAGTAAAAATCCTTGAATACTCTGCGAAAGCAGAGCATCGCTGTCTCAATGTTTGCAATATAGTATATACATACCACATAAATACTGCAAGTAAAATAAGGTTAAGCACATCAGCGTAACCCCCTGAAATAGGCACCATCAGCCATGATTTGGGAGCATGAAATGTGTTTCACTTGCTCTAAAACAGGCAAGCCGTAACTGTCCTTATCTCACAACGGGTGTGAATCAAGGCCAATTTAAGCCAACAGAGGCCTGGATCAGGCTAGTAAGGCTTAGCTTTGGTGCTGCTAGAGCTGATGGCTTAAATCAAGTACAGACAAGATTCTGAAAGGTTCTCCTCCTTTCCCTGCATATAAACACACAGCACTTCTGATACCACTGAAAGGTTTTTGAACATAATGCGTTCAAGAAGCAGAAACTGCTTGTTGCCAGCGCATTGTTATTTTTTCCAATAAGCAAAACAGTTGAATTACCACATCTACAAGCTCATGTCTAAGAAAGTTGAGAAAAATGAGATACATTTTTAAGTGAAAACAAAGCAAAACCTGACAAAAATTTTGGGGAGGAATCCTTAAAATGCCGTCTTATCTTTTTAAAAAAAATAAATAAGTCAGCAGCTCTGGTAGTTTTGAACCTCATAAGCTTGTTTCCCGTTTACAGTAAGAGCAGGGCTGGAACAAGGAGTTGGTCACAGAGCGGGGGGAGGGAGGTTGGCGTTTTGTGGACAGAACAACTGACCCTCAGACTACAAGAAAATTAGTCCGTTTCCCTGTGTTTTCCAAATATCCCTAGGGCTTCTCTGGTTTGGCATTCAGTTCTCAAAATTTGCCATTCACATTCCAGGTTGAAACTTCAGCAATGGGTCCTCAAACAATGAAGAAATCTGGCAATCAAGGTAAATCTTTGCCCAAGAGGTTAGAACATGCATCAATCAATCAGTCATTAAAAAATTACCCTCAGTTACTGACCTCTGAACTTCTTTGGAGGGTTAGCAAGGTCACCTGCCTCTGGCTGAACCACACATCTGTCATCCACTAACCTAGAAAAACAAAAGTTATTAGGCTTATTAAGTCATCTATTTGACATCAGCGCATGTAATTGCAGAGACATACTTGTCACACCTTGGGAACAGAAGTTTACACATTTTTCCAGGTCAAGTCAAAAATACCTCAGAAACGCTAATATTGCAGTTATTCAGCATAACCAAGAAAAGAAAAATCTACATTCTCCTTTGAGAAAGAGGATTTCTTCTGTTGCACTAAAGTAAAGCCAGTATTTCAGAACTCACTTCGTTTAAATCTGGTTAAAGTCTCTTTTGTTACAACATTCACGTTGATGTTACGTGTAAAACTCTTGTTTTCTTTTGTAACAGCACATTAACCCTGAATCAGAAACAGTTTGCTTTTATGCAGCTCTCATTATCCTGAGGCATAATCCAAAATCCATCACAATCAACAGAAAGACTCTGAGCCACATAAAATGGCCCTGGAACAAGACCTCAAAGAGAAAGGCTGAGGAGCTACCTCTGCATCAGATATGAGAAAGGAAAAGTTCTGCTAGGCTCCATTTAAAGTTATCTTGGCCTGAAACCTGCCAGCTGTCCCACAGATTCCTGTATCCACATGGAGCCTTTTAAAGGCATGCACACCAGAGCATCCCCACGTGGACCTGTTTACACAACTGGGACATGAAGGGTTTTTTTTTTTCCAGTGACCTGCTGTTTCACAACACTGTTTTATTTGGAACTAGAATCTGGACTCAGATAAAGCACCTTGGATTTTAGTCTTTAAAAATGTGCGTATACTCTCATCCTCCAAGGACAGTCATGTGAAATGAAGATTCAGCTCTCTGATCAAAAGTCACTGCAGCACAGTTTCCTTTGCTGGGATGAGTAAGTATTTATTTAATCCACACCAGAAAATATAAATAGCAAATAAGCGTCTGATAATATTTTAAAAGCTAAATAAACAATAAAATTCAAAAGATTATAAACCGCACTTCGCAGAAGAATATTGTTAATCTTATCACAGAACTTCCTAAACATAAATTCAGCTTCCCTTCAGGAAGTATCCTGTAAATAATCTGCCCGTTTCAAACAATTATTCAGGAAAATCATGTTTAAGGACACACTACTGCCATTCGGCAACAGGATTAGAAGGATTTTCTGTGGGAAACTGCCAGAAAATGCACAATTTGGGTTCATCCAAATCAAGCAATAGAGGCATTCAGTTTTCAGTCAAGTTGATGAAGGATTTGAATCTAGCCACGAGGGCAGCAAGACCAGTCCCTCAGAGGGCCCATGAGTTTTGTACCTCGGACAAGCTAACTGATGCCAAGGGCAAGAACAAGCTGCTCAGTGTGCTCCTGGCTCCCAGAACCAACAATGAAAAATGACAGTAAGAACTTTGGAAGTCAGCGGCTCAGTTCTCACAGCATATTTGGGGGCAAATGTGAGGTTTCGGTAAGGAAAAAGACATGAAGTCGCAGTTATGGAAGGAGAAAGAGAACTTGGAAAGGCCTTAGGGCAGTCTACATTAGGCCAGGCTTATACAATGGGGCTTAGCAAGAACAAAGGAAGTTATGAAAAGCAGGATTTAGGAAGAGTCAGCCCTGCAAGGTGCCCTCTGCTCACCATCTGGTGGGTCAAAGCTTCCCATAAAGAGGTCCTAAATCCTAGAATCACAGGAAAAACGGCTGGAAAGGACTAACTTCTTTCCTCTTGCCCTAAATCAGGACTAAACTGTACCTATGTCATTCCTAACAGACATCTCTATACTTTGCTTTTAAGGACTCGCAGTGACAGAGGCTAACTAGGACTTGAAGCTGAAGGGGAGGAGGGCAGTAAGATGCCCTTGGCCTATTCCTCTGTTGTGGCACAGATCCTCACCCTCTCCTCTGAGCATAGCCTCGCAATGCAGGAAAGGGCCTTGCAACATGTTACCATGTTGGCGTTTGCTGAGAGTTACTGTTCGAAGCTACCTGCAGGAGGCAATTTTACAATCCAGCTGGATGTCAACTTTCACCAGCTTAGGTGATTTTTTGAAAACGGGAGACTCCAAAATGTTGCAATGCTGGACAGAGCCTTGCCAAAGGATTTTAACACCAAAAAGTGACAAAATCTACAGAAATTTACAAAAACCTTCACAGACTTTCTGAATGACCCAGTCAGGTTTAACTGTTAAACACTGGTAGGATGGAAGATACTACAGCGGGAGGCTGAGTACGATTCACAAAGAACATCTTGTCATTAGACCCTCATGGCAACTATAACTGCAGATACAGTAGAAAATGCAAATGGTTCATTACAGGACCACATCACTGGAAGAAAGGCCATGCACATAACAAGGGGCTGAGAAAAACAGACAAGATCTCGTGCCCTCTCCAAGAGAGGTAGTTGCGGCATTCAAATGCATGCTAGACTTCCCAGGCACAGAAAATAGACCTTAAATAATTAATATAAATTACGTTTGTGTAGCATTTTCTAAAGGCACAAAGGTAAGGACCATGGAAAGTGTTGTGCAGCCATTAGGAACCAAAGACTTCAGACAAGACAGACAAAGGAGGAAGGAACAGCTACCGCTCACATCCTATAGACAGGAAGCAACAGCACAGAAAGATTAATTGACACGTGGCAGGACTGTGGCAGGACAGAATAGAAACATCACCTCCTGGGCCCCTGCTTAAGTGCTTCAGCTTCTAACGCCTTTGTTTCTTACAAAACATCTTACAATACTGGGAAAAAGTCTGAATGAAGTACTGCTTTCTCTATACTGCAACCTTCCTATAATTTAGTCACCCAAATTTTCATATAATGTTACTCACTCTGCAGGAGTATATATCTGAAGAGTTCAGTAGCTACCCGTTTACTGTGGAGGTACTTGTCACGGTACCAGAGTGAGAGCTGAGTTTCATGCTGCACATGATGCAAGGACTTCAGCCTATCCTGCAGCCTGGAAAAGAGCAGACCCTTCAAATGCAGAGCACTTACCTCTGAATACAGGACGCACAATATTCAAATCCCACTTTTTATAGTAAGAGAAAAGACATCTGCTGGTTTGTTACTGAAGCCTGCTAGGTGGCTGCATTAAATAACTAGCAAAGCATGACCTATGCAACCTGCAAAACAAGTTATTTGAAATGTGTGAAACCAGCAACCAGCACAACAACAAAAGGCCCTGGGCACCTGCAGCTCCTATCAAGCCAATGCACAGCACTTTTCAGGATCACTTGCTTGCTGTTTTGTGTAGGAGGTCAAACAGTAGTAGCGAAGACTTTCCTGATAAAGGGAGAACTTATTCTACCATACAATCAAATGTGCAGCTATTTAAATACTGATCTAAATTATTATGCAAATATTCAAGCCACTGTATCATCAAAGAAGCTTTGGCAAATTTAAAAGGTTTGACAGTTCAACTCTCTAGCCGGATTGCAACCAGACAATATTGCATTGTGCCCTCTGTTGTCATATAGTACCCAGCAGATAGCACCCATTTCAGGTTTTCACATGTTGGCTGCATATAAATGACAAAGGAGTCCTCTGCACATTTATGATATGTCTTTTAAAGTGTACAAAGCCACATTAAACAAGAACTCAAACCATCTAAAATAATGTCTAGGTGTTAAAATATGCTCCTCAGTGCAGATAGTGGAAGAAAGCAAAGGTGGATTTTACCTCTCCACTAGCCTAAGTGGCATAGTGCACCATACCGTGTGAAGTGGTCAAAGCCCTACAGCAGAATTAAGTCCTACCTCTATACTCCTCTCCCTCCATTTTCCTCCCCACCATCTGGATGGAGTTAAATATGCTGTTTGTCACCACATTCAAAACCACACTTGTCTAGAAGTGGTGTTCATGCGGGCAGTGTTCTGCAGTGGCTCCTGCTTTACCTATGATGCATTAAACCTGGGGAGCATGAGAGCTGCCACGCTGCATCAGCATGGGCTTCTGCTCAGGTCTACGCCCACGTGGTACTCCTCCAAAACTTCTGTCAGAGAGCTCCAACAATCAGCAGCAAGCAGTTACCAAATAACTTCCGTACAGTGAAAGTTTCTTCATAAACCTCTTCTGAGAGTTGTCAGTTCATGTCCTGAGGGTGGTCCCATCCATATCTGTGTTTAAATTCTAACCAATAAACCTCTGCATGCTCTTATTATCAATCCCTTAGAGTCATTTTGAACCTATTAAGCATTCAACTTCATAATATCTTGTGGCAATGAATTCCATATATAAGATGGTAAGCAGTTTGAAATGTGCTGCCTCTTGTCCTTGGTGCTGTTTCAGCTAAAAGACAATAGGATCAACATTTAATACTATTTGTTCTTTGTATTCAGATCTTGCTTAACGTAAATAATTTCAAACTTCTCTTACAGCTCCTAATAGCTCTCCACTGCCCAGGCATCAGATAGAAGTGGGGAAGTGGTTGCAGTAATTCCCACTAAATCTTTCTACTGGGTGCAGCAGCTGCCGTTACAGGAGCTTTCCTTCAGAGGAGAACAGAATATGCATGTGAAGACACCACGTGTGTTTGGGGAGACGGGAGGAAGGACGCATTGAGGGGAGGAGCAGGACTCAGTGGTAGAAGTATAATTGATTAGGCAGACACATTGGCAGAAAGGACTAATGACGGGACAGTTGGGTTTCTAGCTATGGATCATATACACTGGATAAATCTTCATGTCCTACAAGCTATCCTGATTACCTAACACAGTCTAAAGGTAAATACATCAAAGGCTTTGAGTAACTTGTAGATGTAGTGCAAGGGTCAAGGAGGAGTTACATAGTAATAGTCCCAGAAAAAACGTTTGCACTGATGAGTTATTTTAAAATTACTGCTGAGTTACAAATACATTCCGGAAGCACCCAAACAACGCAAGAAAAAAGGTTCTACCAAAAAAGCAATGCTGATGAATTTCATGAATTTGAGGGATCTTTCATAATGTAAGGTGCTTTTAGTAGCATCCAAGAAAGCAGCTACATAACATAAAAGCTATCATTCATTCTTTTATCTCTAGTCTTGCGGAACTGTGCCTTCAATTTAA